ATCAATGCTAGACACATTTACAAGAAACATTTTACTTTGAATAAATTACCTCTCAAGTGAAAATATAGAAAGCAAAAAAAAAACAGGATGGCGACATGTGGGAAAAGTATGCAGTAAAATAGAAACAACAAGATCTCATATCACATACACAAGATGATATAGTATGCCTATACTAGCTTTATTTGACTAGAAATTCTCAAATCATCTCATTATATTGGTCGATTCTAAAGGCTTATATGATCACTCGGTAATGACTGACTTGATAATTGTTTCTCACTCGACACATTTTCATTGCATTTAATACATACAGTACTATTATGTTTTATTCAAACGAGGAAAATAATGGAAGAAACTCCTTCAGTAATGAAATTAGGTCACTTTCGACAATACGTTTTCATACATTATCTATGTCATTTAAATCACTCGAAAACCGGCGGTTAACTGCGGCTCTCCTTCATAATTTTTTTTTCTGTATCAAACCGGGTTAAAACTTATCCCAGCTGCATGTGACTTACTCAAAACTTGATACAATTAATCTTGTAAAGGATTATACTTGCAGTATTCACATGAAGTCTTTTCTTTTCTCTTCGGCTATTCTATTCAAATCATGTACTATACAGGTAGTCAAAAAGCATGTTCGAACATCTACATAGCTGTGTAAATATTTGAGTTTAAGCATTAGAAACAAGAGATACACTTTTTTCAATTATTATCAATAGATAGATAGCCTTAACTTCTCTATACATTTGTGCGATAAAAAACAGAATTCTTCGTTCTGAAATGAGACGCACGTTTATTTGACATTGATCTCTTTTCTCCCCTGAGATAGATGAAAAAAAACGAGCTCTATCTGTTGGTTTAATTTTTTTTTCAGAAGCTCCTGTGAAAAACCTCTTTCGCATAGTGAAAACAGTAGGCCTTTATCTCTTACTCAGAGAAAGTTATTCAAAAAAAATGGAAAACCTACTTTTTATTTTGCAATGGACATTATAAATTTATTTGATTATTAGCAATAAGTAGCAGAAAATGGGATGAGCTCTTCCATTAACAAAATTCTGGTTACGGCGCTATTCGAATGATGCAACTAGAAGAATTCAAGCGATACACACTGGTACTCGGTGATCCATAGCTCGCTAGAATTTGTGGTATTCTAGCTTACATTTATGGAACAGCATCTTAATCGGACATATGTTCGAATGATTGCAAAAGATACAAATACAATATTGCTGATCTTAAAATGAAAATCATCATTATAGAATTAATTTTGCAATGATTTTTTTTAATATTATGAAGTGTGTTTAAACATTACAATAGTCTATCCGAATTTTGTTTCTTTGATTTTCAAGTATTTTGAACTAGTAGAAACAGTGTGACAAAGCTGATATTTGGATGTATCACTGATATGTATAATCTAACGTTTTCCATAAGTTTCATCGAGCTAATTTTTAACATCTCCAGATATTTTTTCCATTCGTGATATTCAATATATATATCAACTCTTTTAACATCGGTAATTCCAGTAGCTTGTTCTTCAATTTTCGATCTCGTCAGTTTGATTAATTTTGGAGAAAATGTATTTAGAAATAGAATTGGTCAACTACATTTACAATATTACAATTCTATTGTCAGTATTCAATTGAAAATTGTCTTTAATAAGTATAGATGCTAGAAAAAAAATAAGCGGATACTTCATTTTTTTCTTATTAAATACTCAAAGTATCAATCAACAAGATATAGAGAATTTTGTGCTGTATACTTGTACGATATTTTCAAAATTATTGATGGTCTTGGTCAACAGAACAGTTTTCAAACTCATGATCGACGCTAGTTTTAGATGAATTTCGTAAAATAATGCTTTTCGAAGCTAAATCAGTCATAATATTACATACAGAATTAAACAGAAATCCTTACCGGAACGGTGGAAGTCAATTGTCGAAAACTTTTCAATTTTGGAGTTGACCATCCAGTTCGAGTTGTGTTCAACTTTTTTCAAAATAAAAACAGATTAATATTTTATTTAAGATAAAAACGGTAATAACGTCATATTGACACTCGTTTAAATCTTGTCAATGTATTTTATTTCTAGATTTTTAACCATCTAATCAATCTTCATTCTTAATTCTTAAAATCTGAGCTTTGAAGAGCCAGTTGAAACATTTTTGTACTCACGATTTCATACTATATATGAAGTAACAGATATTTGCTCGCTTTCCCTTTGAAACCTTATTTTGAGCATCTGTTGAATAGAAAACAAGTTTTTATCCATCCTATTTTTGAGATCATTTCTTTGTTTGAGATTTACGATATTAATCCGGATAATCTTAAGTGACAAGCTCGTGATTCCTTCACTTCGACTGGATCGGACACCGTCAGTTAGCAGCATTGTAAATAAAATGGATAACTTTCAATTCAAAGTTTAAGACAAATGATATCGTGAAGTTAGCGACAGAAAATATCGAAAAATCAGATTGCAAAAACATTTTGAGCGTTGCTTAGTGATAAAGTGGCTGTAACAAATTTTAACTGTATTGACCTTTTCCATTCTCCAGACTTTGCTCTTACATACTAAAAGGAAAGTTCAGATCGATTCAGTATTAGACTGATGAGAAATAAGTATCGACATTTTTTTCAAAGACTTTTACATATAAAAACAAAATAAAACGGTTTTTGGGAATGTCCACTTTTAATATCGTTCCCGTAGGATACTAATAGCAGCATCTCTACCACATAATAAATTTGATTTTCTTAACCAGCCACGATGTGTTCAATGATGAGAACAATATAATGTCATGATAATCTCTGTGTCAGCGTTTATTAAAATGATACAAAGAAAATTTTGAATTTTGATATTCATTTGGATTTTTTATAATAGGTTTCAAAGATTACAACAACAAGAAATAGAATAATCTCATTTCTTTAACTAGATACCTATTCAATTATTAAAATAAACCATCAACACAGTTAGAATTATTAACTGATGCAAAACTTATAACAAGATCATTTACTCATACAATATCATTCACCTAAATTCTTTCTCAAGTTCAATCGTCGATACAATACTGTGTATCTTCATTATCTTAATATTTTTTAATCACAAATTATTTAATACCGACTATTATAATTACAATAGTATTTTCATGAAACAGGTGACATACACTTTTTTAAAGTCTTGATTATAAATATAATAATAATTGATAAACGCCTGAAGTTAATAGCATTTATTTCATTAATTTATTATTTAGTTTTTTTTATAGCAATTTTTCTACGAATCCTTGAAAAACAATCTCACAATGGAGATTAAATCTTAAGACTATGAAGAAAAAAGAACTTTTCATCCTGTTTTAATTTAAAATTTTTTTTCATCACCATTTTTGAAGCAATCATTTTAGTCTAACTGAATAATAACAAATGAACATGTTGACCAGAACGATATATTCTAATGAAAAATGTTTAGAATAAGCCTTTTTTTTCTGTAACTTCATCGTATCTTAGGAAACCAAACATATGCCTATTTTTAGATCTTAGAGATGCAACATTTTCTGTTCATGCCTATAAAGTTATTTTTTTATATTAGTACAATTGATGTTTATTTTGCCTAGGAAAATCAAACGATGACTTATAGATGGTTTACTATAGTCAAATTATTGAATTCAGAACAGTCGTGGAATAAAGTAATTTGAAAAAAGAAGAATTAGAAGAGTAAGTAAATCGATTGAATATCAAATGGTATCTTAAAGCTAAAAAGTTTTAAGTGAGTTTCTCAATGGTTTAAACATCGACAATGAACGATACTTCAGACTGAATGATTTTTTAAAATGTTATATAGAGAACAAAAAAGTATCTATTTCTGTTGGATAATCGATTTTTATTTTCTAATTCTGTTGACATTTTTGAACATCGATAGAACTATTCTCTTTCAATAAAATAGCTTCAATAATTTGTTGAAATGAATATGTTCACAAAATAATGCAAGATAATACATTGGTTTGTTAGAAATAGGAAAAAATAAATACATATTTTGGTGCAATAAAAAAAATTGTATAAAATAATTCACCACTGATATTATTCTCACGCTTTTCAATAGACATCAGCTATTTAACTATTAATTTTCAATCGATGAAAAAGTGCTGACTTAATTTCGAAAACTAAAATACAGGTTAGTACAGCATGGAGTACTCAAATTATCGGTGATCTATCAAGGAAAACTTTTTCTTCGGCAAAATCATGACTATTGAGGATGCACAAACGAATAGGTTGAACAACAAGAGTGTCGATGATGATGGAACAACTGACTACAATACTCAAATCCCACACCTTCGTCCAAGTTTCTCTTATGATTTACAATAGTCTAATAGGCATTATCGAAAAACTATCAGCAGTTATCAATATAAATGTCATTCTTGTGCTAGCAGCTTTGGAAAATTACTTGAGACTTTTGTATTATAATATTTCTATTGAATTATTTGTAATTCATAGACTTTGTGCAAAGAGATTTTCTTGAATATATTAATATGTTAAATTATAAGCAAGTGTAAATTTATCGTATACACTAAGTTACATATTATCATGTTATTAATCATTTAATCCTTTTGATGTCATAATATCATAAAATAAAATTTGTTTTGAAGAATAAAATGTTCGAAATATATAAAGATGCATATGTACAATTGTAATAACTGTATACAAGGAATAACTATCGAAATCTTTTTTTTTTGCTACTTTTTCTGTATATACGTGAATACATCATTTTACGTGATTCAAAACAAAAAAAAACGATTTGCTTTTTTCTACTGCTTTTTGCTGTTCGATGTTTTTTTTTTCTTTGAGATGTATACATGTTTTGATGATATGTCATGTGCAAGATTCACAGTGCACAAATCACTCAAGCAAATCATTGCATACACAACGTGCACATTTTATGTAGATTCGTTCGTGATAAAGCATGTAATTTTTAAAAAATCAAAAGAAAAAAAAATAGGCAAAATAAAGAATGATAAAAAATGAATAAACTCGCTTTGCTACAAAGGTAAAAAAAAGAATCAATCGATAAAACAAACAAATATTGCTACATACACACAACAGCAAGTGTCATCAACAAGTCCACAACAAAAAAAAAAATTCGCATTATATTGGATTTTATTCGTTTTGTTGTGGTGAGTAATTGATTAGAATAGTTAAGCATTTATTCATGAGGATGACTATGATAACTTTGGAATTGACTAACATTTTCGCAGAAGATACTAATGGATCGATTATTACTATGATTTTGATTACTTTTTTTTTTCATTCATGTTTCTTGATCCAATTGTATGAAAATAGACGACCTTTTTTTTTTCTTCATACTAGTGAATTGAATTAATCTAATAATATGGAGTTCATGAGACAAATTTATATTATGAAATAATTCAAGTTTCTATACCTTTTTATAGAAAAGGTTTATCTTTAAGATTTATCAAGATATATACTTGTTAACCTGTGAATACTGATAATTCTTGCGTTCTTTACGATCTTGTAGAGAAATCGAAAAATCACTCTTTCTTGCGTTCTATTTTCATGAATCAGCTGTACACATATATATATATATTATCGTATATGAAGTGTGATTGATACAGCCGTATTAATGAACATTTCGTTTCACAGCTATTTATCGATACGACAGAGCGAAAACAAAAATTCTTGTATTCTGCTTGTCTTCAACCCGAAGACAGCGACATCCAAGAGGTTAAGTACCCATGTAATGAAAACCGGCAATTTAACACGATTTTACCGGTCCGATGACCGTCTTCTTTACAGCGAAAAACCGATTGTTTTCTTCGGTTTACCGCTAAAAGTGATCTGATTTTTGTGGTATGGATAAGCAAGCTCTATTAAGGTTCAGCCAGACTTATAAGAATCGATGAGAGTCTGCCAGATCTTGCTCCTTTTGGTTGTTTAGTACCACTCTCATCCTCACTCAGGGGAATGAACAAAGCATATTTCATCTCTCATAATGTAATAATATAGATCCATTGCGGCATGTTTCTTTAAATTCTCAAAAATACTTTTTTTTTCTAAGATGATTTTTGCTATAGCGAACAAAGAATTTTATCTTTATGTTCGAGAGTCATCTGGGATAAACAGCAACAGCCATAATCTAAAGTCGAACTTTAGTATAAATCAGAAGATGTGAGTTATTGTCTATGTTAAAAGAACATTGGTCCCGTCCAGTCGAAGTATATCTCAATAATTAAAAACAGTAACAGTGTTCCTTACGATTTTTTTTACAAATATGACAATGCGAAATATTTGTTACTGATTTCATGTATCGATCTACAGTATGTAAGAACAACATTGTCATATGTGAAGAGAACGATTTCTCTATTCAGATATAACAAAGATTAATCGTTTTTTTTTTTCGTAAGATCTTTTCAACATTAGAAAAAGCCTGAAGAAAAACAGTCTTCGTCGAAGATTTCTAATAATGTTTAGAAAATGAAAACTACAATTCCTATTTTGCTATTGTGTACATGAAAAATTCAATGAATTTTTAGCAAAATTGACTTTTTGATATCTTCCAATATCAGTTTATAGAATTCTTTTATATATTAGAACTTTTTCAATCAGATAAGAAACAATATGTTTTGAATATATTACTCTTTGTTCTTCTAATATTCTTACTTGACATCAAAATTTCAAAAAAAAAAAACCAGCAGTATCATAAATATTCGATAACTAAATCGAATATATAACATTTAAAACTTCTATTCTATTTAGTCTCGTTGGTTAAAATGGCTACTGGTGGTTTACCATTTGATGAATTTCACATAAATACTGCTGATCGTCGCCTTGAAATTTTTACTCTTGTCTGGCTCGATGCTAATGTAAACGGTCAAGATCTTCGAGAAACAGAACAAAAATTACGTTCTATTATTAATCATATCAAGAAATTTCAAGATGTAGAAAAATGTCAAAAATATATTGAACAACAATCTCCAAAAGAGCGACTAATAATTATTGTTAGTGGTCGATTCGGACGAGTAATAGTTCCTTCTATTCATGGATTTCGACAAGTTATATCGATCTATGTTTATTGCATGGATAGGAAAGGTAACAAAGAATGGGCTGACAAATTTGCTAAAGTAAAATTATTCTAATCGATTTCGATTTCATTTTATTATTTTTAATTTTTGTTTTTTGTTTTTTATTTTTTGATAGGTAAAAGGTGTTGTTGTTGACTTTGTTGAACTCGTTTCTCGTATTAAAGAAGATCATAAATATGAGAAAAAATTTGAAGAACCATTTTCAATTAATATTTTTACTACAGGTTCTGGCAAAGGTAAATCAACATCTGGTGTAAATGGTAGATTTGTTTTTTTTCAAGTGCTTATTGATTGTCTTCTAAAACTAAAATCGAAGGAATCAGATAAAAATGAAGTTATTAGATGTTGTAAACTGCAATATGAAGGTAATGATTTTGAATTGACCAATCTTCATGAATTTGAAAAGAATTATTCACCTGACAAAGTCTTATGGTGGTATTCACGAGAATCGTTCTTTTACAATACTCTTAATGCTATTCTACGTAACGAAAATATTTATATGATTTGTTTATTTCGTACATTTATATCTGATATCTATCGTCAATTGAAATATTATCAAGTTAAAAATCATGTACGAGTTTATCGTGGTCAAAATATATCAAGTGATGAATTAGAAACTTTGAAACAATTAGTTGGTCATTTTATTTCCGTGAATTCATTTTTTTCTACCAGTACTGTTTATAAACTAGCACTTTCATTTGTCAAAGGTCCTGATATTCAAACTGATTTAGAACGAGTATTATTTGAAATTGATGCTGATCCTAAAATTGTCACTACAAAACCATTTGCTGATATTAGTAAATGTAGTGAATATAGTCAAGAATCTGAAATATTATTTATGCTTGGTTCTATTTTCCGTTTGGATAGTGTCGAACGCAGTAGTGATGATCGACTATGGATTATACGAATGACTTTATGTAGTGAAAATGAACATGCTTTAAAAGATGTTCTCATTCATATGAGACGGCAACTTGGCGATGGTGAAACAAATCTTCGAACATTAGGAAAAGTATTATGGACTATGGGAAAACTTGGTTTAGCTGAACATTATTTTATTCGTTTTCTGGAAGAAGTTCCATCACATGATCCTTTACTTCCTACTGTATATGATGAACTTGGCGAGTTGACATCACAGAGTCGTGAATATGAGAAGAGTGTTCACTGGCATCAAAAAGCAATCGAATTCAAAAATCAACATCCAAATATTGATACTAACAAGAATAATAAACAAAACGATCATACTAGTAAGTCCATTAAAAGACTGTCTATTGTATTGATAAGGGATATCCTACAAAAAAATTAATATTTTGATAGCAAAAACCCTGAAGAGTGAAATTAATGAACAATCATTATCGATCTCGTCAAGAAGTCCTAGTTTTTTTACTTCCTCTGTCATTCAAACCGCTTGAAAACCGGCGGTTCTCTAGCTAAATTTTTTTTCGTATCGCAATGGATCAATCTTTTTTTATTCTGACAAAATTGACAAATTTTGGTCGAAATCATGCTTTCTCTATATTGTGGATGCTCTGAAGTTGCCTGTACCAGCTACATCACTCAAATTCGCATAATTTTCGAGTTTAAGTTTCTATTAAAGATGATGTCATAAAAATAGTCATTTATTAGACGACTTGATCAATAGAAAAATATGTGGCGCCATCTGACACAATTTACTGGTTGCATGATTATGTATTGGAATCGACTTTTTCAAGACTAAAAATATTAATTTAGTGATAAAATAATTAAAAAAAAACGATAAATGAACGAAAATCGACGACATAGATTATGAAGTAACCATTTTAGATGTCCAAAATAATGAACAGTTAGAAACAAGTTGATAGAAACATCTAGTATCATCTACTTTATTTTGAAAATCTCATTTTCTCTTAAGATAGTTTTGGCTCCTTTCAGATGTTTGTACTTGAGAGTAAACTATTTAATTGAATTTGAATATGGTTCATTTTTTTTTATTGAATCTGGTCATATATATTGTAAACATAATAACTAAACTAAATGTATTCTAAAAATTTCTAACGAGCGCTATATATATATGTGTGTAGCAAATAGGTATAAACTCAGTATATATTTGACCATCATATATAATTCTTGAAAACTATGCTCATAAGATAAAGAATGTCTTAGAAATTCTGATACATTTTAAAAATTTATCGTTCTCACATTCAACAAAAGCAAAGTCTTTTTGAAACTTTGGTAGATTATTGGGCATGCTTAGTACTTCATAACTACAAACTTTCAGATCTATAGCTTATATTATGGATGAGAATCTGTAACAACATTATCATGTACTATTTTTTCAATTTACCTGGTCATCTTGATTAGTATTTTAAAAAAATATTACTATTTGAAATAAAAAGGAATACAAAACAACAGTTATCAATGTTCTCGCATCAGAGATGTTTATCGCGGCCGAAAATCTGCTGCTGCCGTGGAGGTTTTCAAAAAAGTGTTTCTAATTTCACTACTGCGACTATATTTGACTAGAAATATTGATATTAGTTCATCAGATGCATTCACTGTCGGGATGTTTCATTTGTAAACCCTGAAATTCTATTAAATTCATGCAATTTTTCAATATCCTCCAAAAAAATGCTGCTGTTGCCGCAATGATTTTTTAAAAAAATCTGCTGCCATAGACATCTCTGTCCCGTATTTAATTACCACCTTGATCGATGACTCATTTTCAATCATGCTGGTATGTTGCCCATTATTCGTTGATATAAAGCAACACTAAATTTATTCCATTTCTCTTTGATGGTGTTTTCTTATTGTTCAATATGACTGTGTTCTCGTCCTGGTAATTTTCCTTTTAATGCACTCTGAACATCAGGTAATTTTGTAGCATAATTTCTGAGTTCAATTTGATTTTACAAAAAAAAATATGTTTAACGGCATCCGAAGCCACCCTTTGCTTAGGATCGTAATCGTCGTAAAAACTAATATTTCGCAAATTACTAATTCTTTACTTGTTTTTCGTGTTATAATAGTTTGAATGAATTTTATATATCCGTTATCAATAAAACATATTTCCTTATGACTATTACTAGCTTGTGATTTGATGAGCTTTAACTATTCATTGATAAAAACTGGAGATTGTCGAGCGATTTGTATGTGGCATTTTGTCAATGTAGTTCATAGAAAAATTTGAAAAAATAGTACATGATTGTGTTATTACAGATTTTCATCCATAGTATAAGTTATTGATCTGAAACTTTATAGCTATGTAGTACTAAGCATATCCGATAATCTACTAAAGTTTCAAAGACTTTGCTTTTGTTGAATGCGAAAATGATGAATTTTAAAAATGTATCAGAATTCCTGGAACATCCTTATAGATAGCTTAATGTCTAGATTTGTTGCTGAGTTGCAGATAAAGTAAGGCAGAGTTACTAAAGACTCAATTTTCATCTATGTCTAGAGAATCTTGAAGTTTTAGTTACAATTTTTCTAAAATTTTTTTTTTCAATTATCTAGTTCTGTTCATTGACATCTATTGAATGGTAATGATTTAGATAGTTCATTCTCATATTCTTTGATTAATACTATATTTGTTTGAGTAGATTGAAGTATACGTTATTCTAACCCACATATCTTCATGCGCCGTATGATTGACTCTAAAACTGATAGAAATGAATCGTTTTCGATGAATTTCGATTAAGTTTATGCATTCGAGCAGCCTATACTAGCCACAGAGGTGACATCAGTCCTGGAAATAAGATAAATTTTTTATTATGGATCGATGTGGGTGTCGGTGCGTGTGAAGTCGTTGGCGAAGAGAAGATCTTGACGTGCCGTTCACTCACTCATAACATATACCTTTTGAAAAATATGACAACAGGCGTTCACTCTATCAAGTATGTCTTAAACTCACCTCAGATAATGTCCAGAAACTTTGTCGACGCACATAACTCTTATCAGAGCAGGCCTAGTATTAGACTAAGTGGGAACGTTTGGGTAAATTCTTTCTCAATATAGGTCCATCGAAAAGATCTGGTGAACTGCAACAAGCACCACTCAAACCGACGGGCGATTATAATGACAAGACACTCTATCATAACAATATGGAACCTTCAATGAAGAACGCAGGGGAACATAAAACTTCTATGATCTATCATAAACAAACATATGAAGTCAAAAAAAAATCGTCTTCGTCGAAGCATCCCAATTCGACTACGACGACCTACAGTAAGATCGATCAAGTGCATAACAACATGGATGAACCATCATCAGGAATTGAATTTGTCAGCAAGGGACTGAAAGTAATAGAAAAAGATCTATCTCCGAATGATCCTGATTTGGCTAAATTCTATGGTGACATTGGTGAAGTGTTTAACAACATTAAAGATTACCCAAAAGCACTTGAATATTATAAAGCAGATCTTAAATACAAAGAAAAATCTCTGCCTGCAAATCATCTTGATGTAGCTACTTGCTACAGCACTATCGGTTCAGTGTATCGTGACATGGGTGACTACTCGAATGCCCTTTCATTTCTAGAAAAGGCACTTGCTATCCAACAAAAATCACTTCCACCAACACATGCTCATATTAAACAATCGATAGATAATATTAACGATGTAAAAAAGAAACTGTAAATTTTTTTATATCTTTACTTGCTCAATAAACTCGTTTTGATTGCTGTTCATTCTCCCGACTTTCTTTACTCTCTATCGCGTGGAATCAGAAAGACCTCCAATGAGCTAGAATGGTACCCATAACAGAGCTAGGGGAATCAATTCACTTTTCAAGTCGAGTCAAGTTATTCTATGTATCAGTGGAACGAAAGATTTACCGTAACAAGTTGTGTAATGATCGACTTTTTATCACAAAAGATAACTATAGCATTTGTACGGATTGTCCGAAAAGATTTTTTGTTTTGTTTTAATAATTCCATTCAAGGATCAAAGAAGTCGTGAGTAAAGTAATTTGTAGTGTTGTTTGGTTTTATCATTCTGAATATAATCATCTAATATCTTGTATTATAAGAAAGCCAACAGAGTTGTGTAACATATTCAAGAACTGGAGGACACAAAAGATTATCAAAAAAAAAATGTAAATGAGAAAGAAAACCTCATCCTTTCTACAGATGACTTTAGAGGTGCTTCATTTTCTGTTGGATAAATATTGTGTGAAATGATTCTAAGTCAAAAAGTTAAGAAAAAAACATTTCATTCTTAATCTAATGTTAATTAAAGACAGTAAGATAGTATATCTTCAATTCATCTATAAAAAGATACGAGATTATATCTCATATTCTCATCCCTTGCATCTTCGATTTCATCTATATGTGATAATAGTGAACTGAATAAAAATATCAATGAAATAATGGACAACAAGTATTGAGCATCACTAGTGTTATTATTTATTCCAACTCAAGAATAATAATTAACTGAAGTATTCTATAATTGGTCGAAGAAAAATTTATGGACATATTTAAATCAAATAGAAAATTCGTTTGATATCTGATGTTTTCGTCAAAATAAATACAAATATCTTATACAATTATCAGTCTGCTTAAAAAATATCATCAGAAATAAATTCAAGCACAAGAACAAAATCAAGTCGAAATATCTATGTCAATAATAACAAATTTTTTTAACAGCTATTTCACATACGAAATATTTTTGAAAACGTATCAAAATTTCAAATTATCCCTATATCTTTAATAATATTTTCTGTCTCAATGACTTTTAACGCTTAGTCCATTCTCATTGAATTCGAAATATTCCAATCGAGTTTTTCAATTTTGAAGATTTTTCATAGAAAAACCAACCTCAACCAATAGGTACGTCTTGTATTTATGTTTGTAAACCGTGTTTTTTTTTAATATTTCTAGAGGCTGTATTTTGCATAAGATAGTTTATTTTAGAACCATTGATTCGTGTTGTTTTTTTTTTGTGTGAAATGATGTATCACTCTATGTAGAGATTGATATTTTATCATAACTTTAATTTTGTTTTTTTAAGGATATTTAATAATCGAGTATTTCTATCCTTTAATCCTCGTAATTGTTTGTGTTATTGTGGTTTCTAATTTCTTAATGGCAATATTTTAAGACATCGATCAATTTTTCTAATTGAAAAATAATCAACACGAGAAGTAACTTGAGTATATTTGAAAACAAATGAATTTGATTGAGAAAAATCTTTAAATGAATAATAAATTCGAATATATTTAATCGTGGTAAATAATCGATAATATTTTTCTTTAAATTATTTCCATCAATAAACTTTTCTTTTTTTGCACGATAGTCGATCAATAAATACAAAGCAAGACTTTCTAAATTTCAGATTAGACAATTTTTTTCTAGAATTTAAAATATTCTTAAAAGAATACAAACAGAAAACTAATAGCTCTTAATTCCTGTGAATTAAAAACATGAAACAATTGCTATTACTAACAGCAAGATATGTGTAATGAATCAACTTAAGTCAACACTTTATATATTCGATACTTTGTTCGCGACTCATCTGGCAGCATTGAATGAATATTATTCTGAAGATTTTCAGTTTTCTTATGCACTTATAGGTTTCACATTTAGTGATAGTCCTTAAGGGAAGAGATCAGGATCACTGTTGTTATCTCTTCTAATTTTACTAGAAAAATCCTGCATTTTATTTTATTTTATTCTCCTTTCTGCTTTCTTCATTTTTCTCTTTATTTTTTAAATACTTATTTGTTTTCTTACTTTATTGCTAATACTATTATGTTCTCCTCAGTTATCTCTTCGGTAATGCCAGAGAAAATTTGCATTCACATTTATTAATCTAATGGTTCTCATCCTTGTTCTTTTTTAAGGACACAACTGTTTCTACTTACTATGAAAAATATCAGTCGGATTTTTTTTTCTGTTTTTACTACCTTTATTTCTTGTCATTGTTTCTTCTAGGTATACACTAGTTAATCAATATAAAACTAAAACTGATGCATCTCTAGCTTCTTCTAGCACTCGAATATAATGTTAGTTGCCTGCACAGGTATGATTTTTCATACCCGGACCTGAACTGAATCAGAATAGCTGTTAGTCGATATTCAGAGACTGCGGCATGATTTCTGTCTACGATAGGCACAACCCTTCAGTCAAACCAGCTGAAGAGTGGCTTGAAAAGTGATTTTCTTTATCTATTTTATGATGGTTAATGCTGTAGGTTTTCTTGCTAGATTTTAATTCTGTATAAGTGTAATAAATATCGAATGTTTTATTGTTTCCAACGAAATCAAAAACTAACAAAGAAACAGAGAAAGGCTGCTTCGAAAAAAAAAAGACAAAAATACAAGCTAGAAAGAAATGAAACTATCTATGATCAAAAATTTATTTTCTACATTGATTTTTCAAAATAAAATTAGAACAGATACTGTTCAAATCAAATAAATCAAATTTTTCTTTCTGAATATGAGAAATAAAAACATCATTTGAACTGTGTTGATTCATTACACAGTGTAAATATGCTTTTATTCAATTCATAACACTGAAGAATGGTTCAGCAGTGACTGTTATTACGAGGATGTGTGAGACTTATCTTCAGCAAGAGAAACATTTACACATTAGTGAGATGCTCCATCAGTCCAGAGAGAATTATCTTATACATGTATCTCATGCTAGTCAAAGTAAAAGTCATTTCAAATGATTAAAAAGTATGATATTCGTTGGCTGAACCAATAAACAACGAAAATTTAAGATTTTCAGTTCTCACGAGCATAATTTTGAAAATAGTTTTTTGTAGAGCGAGATGAAAATTGGAATTGCAAAAGAAGAAGTTATTTAGTGCGGATCTAAGACCAAGACCACAAGAAAAAGTCACGGGAATTCGAACCAAAAGATCGGTGCCCCACACATGTCTACTTGAAAAAAATGTGCTTTTTTTGACAGCCAGAAAAAAGACTTCATAAGTTTCGATCCAATTTTGACTTTTTTTAGTGTCCTTAAAGGTAGAAAGGTGTTGATGAAGTATATTTGAAGTATAATATTCAAGCTATCAATCCAAAAAGCAGCACCTAATTTGTATCAATGGTAAGAAAATTATGCAAATTATCTTTAAAATGTCTATTCATCCTTCAATATTGCATAGATACAAAAAAAAATGAACTTATGAAACACCTTTAGTCAGAAGACTCCTTGTTTCTAGACTTTTCTCCTAATAAAAATCTCCAAGATCTAGAAGTCGATTTTCGAGATTTTTCTCCTGGTTTTAAAACGGTAATAGATAAGAAAATTCATTGTTTTTATTTGAATTCTCTAGAACTAAAATGATCAATTTCATAAACACATTCTATGTCGAGAACTTTGTAACTGTAGATAAAAAGAATGTATTGTATACTTATCGAATATTTTCATTGCAAAAAAAATAAAGTGTCAAACTAACCGAAAAAGAATCCTTTATCATAATCTTTACCACAATATGTAAAAATGCTGATTCTATTTTACTAAAAGATAATTCAAATCTACAGTCTCGCTACATCATTATCCATGGAGGAAACTCAACATTATTTGTCAAAATACAAAGAGAATAGTTCTTGAATTCATCAAATGATTCATTGTTAATAGAATATAAGAATTATTTGTCTTTTTTCTCATGTATCACTTCGACGCAAATTTCATTATTATTAACTTGATAGTATGAAGAAACAAGCTCTTAAGTTTCATCCGATACAAGACAGCTCTATAGTTTCTTGATTTCGATAAAGATCTCCTGAGCAATTACTGGGTTTATGAGGAAAAACTTCTGATTTAATAAATGTGAATATAACTATTCTGAGTAAAACATTCATGAAATAATGTTCTCAGATTATATAAAAAGCATGTTTCTATATCTATTTTTATTATTTTTACAACTTTCGTTTATTATTGCTTAATCCATTAGAATTCAAGGTATGAGTATCTGCACCTAAACTTCAAACATGCACACATTCACATTCTCATCAATGATTCATTCATGGCATCTATTAGATCCTCGATACTGAATGAGTAGTGCGTCGAGACTAGATATATAATGGACTCAAAGCTGTTTTATGGATTACAAGGGCAATGAGTGTATATAGAACAATGTGCGTATACATATTTTCTAGACTATTATGGAGTACAAGGAGAAAATCTTTTTATCCTTCATGACACATTGCCTTCATCTGTGTATCGTAGCGAAAGAGAACAAGAAAAAGCTAACTGTTGTTCTGGATTATTTCTTCCATACTAGCAATCATAAACAGACAATTTCGTACTTTTTCTTATCACAATTTCTCTTCTGCACACAAATGAGTTCTGCTATTCCAAAAAAAGGTAGCGACGTTGCAAATGAAAAATTACGTGAAATGGGTGCTGGTACAGCAATGGGATATCAAGGTGGTTCAGCAAATAGTGATACACAATCAGTAAAATCCAATGATCGTGTTAATTCTTCATTGGCTGGTGGTATGACTATTGGACCTCCAATCGATGGTAAAACAATAACAAAATGAAACGATGACAGACAATTCTTCTTGAATAATGACAAGAGTACACTGTTTATCCTTTCATCTTTGTACAATAAATTTTTTTTTCTGAATAAAAGTTGGATTTTCTTTTAAAAAGACAGATGTATGTTGGAAAAGAAAAACATAGACTTTTACATTTACAAGCGGTAGGAAAAAAACTTTATTTAGAACAGTATGAAAAGCAATTTTTGAGATCTGAAATCAAAGTAATTTACTCAAAAGCATGTGCAACACTCTTCTTATTCCAGGAAAAAGTGTATTAACTGTTTAAAAGATTTTTTTCGATTTTATTTTTCAAAAGTATCGAGTAATTTTACAAGCTTTGATTGTTTTTCAATGTTGAAACATTGCGAAAAATCAAACTTATTACATCATTTCGAATAATATATTTGTTTTGCTTTTCTTTTTGAAAAAAATACACACTAAGATCATAAGTTTCTTTTGTAAATTCGTTATCAAGTCTTTACTTGAAGATTTTAGAAGAATCTATTTCCGATTTTTTTTAACCATCACTCGTTCTTTAGAAGTTTTATTCCGGATTAAATTCTAAAAGTGAGTTTATCTAAGATTTCTCTTTTACATCGATGAAATTGTCGTAGAAAAAAAAAGATACCGAGAAAACAATGAGTTTGATATACATATGATAGAATGTATGGGTGAATAACTAGATAAAGTTAAAGAACAGGAGGTAGAAAATCACAATTCATAATGGGCATCGCTGTGCTTATCGTTCAATTGTCGGTAATAGTCATGTACCATAGCTAATTTTGCACTGTTTCTTGATTCAGTTTGAAAAGTATTCGCCATTTCCGTTGCTCGTCTAACCATCGTCTTTGCTTTGCGTTGAGCATATTCTAATGACTCTAGATCATCATCGCATACCGTCACGTCAGCTAGTTTGGTCTGTACCTCTTTTGCTTGAGCAGCCAGCAATTGTGATAGATCAAATGCATCATCCACTCGTTGTTCTCGCAATAATTCTGTAACTTCTTTTTCACGTCGTTGGATTTTTTGTAATTCGATCAGACGTTGCACGATCTCATTCAACTCGTTCAATTCTTTATCAACTCGGCTCAATGAAAATAGAAGTGTTTTCGAGGCGACTAATTTCGGTAATCGATCGGTAACATCGGTCATCCACAATTCTACAAGCATGAAATCGATTTCAGGTTTTTCAAGTAATTCTTTTGTTATTTTCACTTTTGTTTCCAATAGAATATTCATCATATCATTGTAACGAAGATTTCCGATAGGAATTATTTGTTCTTCTTTCATGTCGTATCCATAGACATCGACAATCTGTGTATCATACTTGGTCGTTACTTTCAAATAGGCATCGATACCCATGAGATTTTGAAATCCTTGATAGGCAATACCGACAACTTTCTCCATACTTTCGGCACCTTTGATGAAAAAATAATCGCCTGAACCATAATCAGCTATATTTGTCATTAATGTTTCGTCAAAATCATATCCAATACCAAAAGAACAAATCGTCACATCGTACGTATTCTTGATAGTTGTTATTTCGTTCAACAAAAGTTTATGATCAGTTACACCTTCATTGATTTGTCCATCCGACAAAATGAAAAATCGCTTGACAGTAGATCGATCGGAATATTTTTTCAATAGTGGAATCACTTGATCGAGACCTGCCATCAGATTTGTACCACCAGATGGATATAGTTTATGTAAAGCCTTCAACATAGCTTGTTGATCATGAGCATTTTCGAAGACAACTGATGAAACAGAATTATATTGAACCAAATGTAGTTTATCATCAGTATTCATATTCCGAATAATATGTTCGATAGCGGATATAGCATTGTCCCACTTGTTTGCTCCGGCCATACTACCGGATGTGTCCAGAACAATGAACAATTCGCGTGGTAATTTCGCTTGAGTACCAGTATGGGAACCTGTTTTGATTTGAATGTTCACGTGTTGAGTATAAGTGGAGATTTCATGTGGAAAAAATTGTTTTTCTTGATCAACAGATAGTTGAACGGGAAACGAAGACGAAGTTATAGTAACGTGTATCAGGCATGCTACGAAACAGATGACTGGAATAGGACTCATGTCGAGTACAAATCTCGTCGATATTTGACGCAAACTTAAATGTGCAATTATTGATCTACAGAAATACGCAGAAAAATAAAGGTGAGAACCTCGATCTTTATTGTTTTTCGGAAAGTTTACTTTTATTGAAAACTATTTACTGAAGAACGGCTCAACTAAAATGCAGCACGACAATTGCATGCTATATATCACATATTTTATTTACGTATGTGTATTAATAACGAATAGAAAAGGAACAGCTCATGCTGCTCATCTGATTTCATACAATCTATCACATCACGGAAACGTGGCCGCGTTATCTCACGTCACTCGCTTCACCAATTGATAGTTAGTCAGAATAGGTGGCGTATCAGTCCAGAATCCGTATCAAAAGGACGCAATGTGTCTCCATCTTATTACTTCAACCGACAAAAATCACTTAAATTTAATTGAATCGAAAGAAGAGTTTTCACAATCAAATAAAATTCAAGATTTTTCTCGCAGAAATCGAAGTTGCAATCACAGACATAATAAAAACAGCTTGAAGGTGTCGTCATAGAGAAGAAAAGAAACATGGTGGTGGTATAGACAGAAGATATTTTCTCTTTCTTCATCATTCACCCATATCACTCAGGTGACCTACAGCGACAGCAAGCAAAATAGGTAATTATTGACAACACCAATCATAGATGGATACGAAGCGAATTAAAATGGATAGAAGATGTCTCTCTGTTCTGAAAGAGACCGAAGCAGTCAGTTAATAGAAGAAGAGAGAAAATATGAAACCTTGACGAGAGAGATGAATCGAAAGAGTAAAGCTAGAGTAAGATGATGATGTACTACGACAATTACAAATTGATCTAGAAAATGATGAATTTAATTCGTACTATTTCTCTAAGCTCAAATCTGTTAATCAAAGAGCATGCGTAAAATCAGGCCTAGAAATTATTATCAGAAAGATTTCTTTCTCATCTTTTCGACACCGATATTCGATCAATTTTATACTTCGTCCAGAGTATAATTATCAGTCGAACTGATAGATAATGACATTAATTGATTGAGATTCTGCATAATGATTCAAGATTGTTTATTCAATGCAAGGCGGATAGACAAGTGTCGAATAGTTCCCTCAGGAAGATTTGGAACTGTTAGAAGAATTCCCAGAAACCTTTTGAAGTTGCAGATGAACTTGGTATATCTCTCTTTCCTCACTACTCATTCCCCGATTATGATTAAAACACGTCACTGTTGATCTATAGCTACTTTTGTTGTTTACACGGTCTGATCTATCTTTTACTCATGTTTTTCTAGTCGTTGCCGGTCTATGGCTGTGGTTCTCTTTTATATATGGTCCCGTCTTTTTCTTTTTCTTTTCTTTCCTTTTTTTTGGTTTTTTCTTCTTTTTTTCTATTTTTCCTTTCGTCTACTCTCGTTGTGTTTCTTCTCGCTTGCTCTTATTTTTGTTATCATCATCTCGTCGTTCTCTTCCTTTTTCTTCTCCATCATGTTGTTCATCCATCTATTTTTTTTTTAATATACCTTTCTTTCTTTCTTGTTCTTTTCTCTTTTTTTTTTGCAGCACACTGAGGATCAAGGTGAACTCCTCTTTGTACTGTTAGGCCCATTTGGGCACAGATCCCCTCAACTGCTTAATAAAAAAAAAGAAAAGTGTCGAATGTTAGAAAAATAAATATGAGGAGGACTCAGGTCCATGGTTAAGAATGATTCATACATAAGATGTCGAGTTTACTAGAACAACCAGTTGGTATCGTAGGAACAAGTGAACTTATACGAAATGTTGATTGTATCTATGTTTAATACTGTAAATGTCTGAGCGGAAAGTATAGAGAAAAGCATCAATGTAATCTGATGGTGGCTTTCGATGATATCGAACAAATCCTTGATGTTCTCCGATCTAAAATTGGCTTCCGAATGAATCGAGAAGTGTATCAATTTGTTATTAGGTAATGTTTTTAGTCGAAAAACAGTTAGCTTTGATAAAAATAATTGACAATGATGTTTTCTCATTAGTATCTATCCAATTTAATAAGATTTGCCTCAATGATCGAATGATTCAAGTTAGATATGGTTTTCTTAGAAAATTGAACATTAAATGTTGTTAACGTATGTCACAGAGCTTTAAAGAAATTGACGGATTCGTTGATGCTAAATGTTGATCATCATTAAGATTATTCAATAGTAAGCAAAGGTTTCAAGTAAAAGATGTTCATTCCAATAGCCGATTTAACTCATTCACATGGCAATAGTTTCTTAAGATTGAAAGATGTTCGAGCAATGACACAATCACTGTTGGAATATGAAAATTTCCTTGTGCATTCAAACAACAATCAATAAGATTAGGCAACTTCCAAATACTGTTGACTAGGTGTAGAGCATTCATATGTCTAAATGGAGAATCACATTTAGCAGTTTCTAGACGAGTAAGACACGGCAGAAAATGATATTCGATCATTATTTTGTTCAGAAAATTAAACGTAAAGAGAATAAATGCGTGTTCATTTAGGTTTTTTTATCGGTCGTCAATTGAATTTTCTCCAAAGAAAAGTAATCGATGGCGAAAAAACGGAAAACAAAGACATCCAATAGATGTGGTAAAAAGTTTTGAAATGAATATGATAAAGATTCGTTTCGAGAAGATAAATTTGAAAGAAATGTGCTATTTTGTACACGATCTGAGCAAGCATGATGCACTGATAGTTTTGTAAGACGATATTTCAGTGATTCTATCGGATGCACTTGCAGAACATTAGAATGTTACCCATTAAGATATTATTCGACATGTTCAAAAATTCTATACAAATGTTAATGCACACGCCACGTAGCTTAAATGATGACTTATTGATTTCGGACTTTAGTGAAGGGAATTTTTTCTAATAACAGTCTTTGTTAATGCTGTGATTAACGGAAGATAATTACAACATCGATAAAGTCATGATGGAAGAAACTTTCTCCATCAACGATTTGATTAGAATTTCTCAATATTATTCTACGAATCTTACTACGTAGTAATTAGTTCAAACATTCATGTCGTTTAGTCGAATTCGCTGAAATATTTAGTAAAAATTTGATTATAAAACAGGTCAATGCTTCTTTGACCATTGGATCTTCAATAATCCTCCGACTTGATTAAAAATCAAGAACTTGTTAATAAAGACCTTTGCTTTTCCTATTATACAAGTGCTATAACAGCAGCACTCGATTAAACTTTTCATTTACTTGAGTATTCAATTGGAAATGTCTAACATCAAGTAGAAATCGAATCAATGTCGATTATACAGTTTGAGCATGTCGTATGGAATGATGTTGTAGATCGTTTCTCAAACCTTACCTACTCATCACGATTGTTATAATCTGAAATATTTCATCGTGCAATAATACATCATCTCTTCTCATTTCAACAAATTTAAGAAAACACAGTGATTCTCATTTTGAATATGAAAAAATTCTATCAATCAAGCAATTTTCTTCGATAGTTCATAAGGAAAAAATGTGAAAGTGATTAATTTCATTTCATCTGACGATCATTGATCATCATGTTCAAGAGAAAATCGCAATGATCCAGTAGGATATTGCTCTTATTCAAAGATTTAACATCAATCTTAGTAATTCAATCAGATCTTCAAAGTGTTATCAAACTTTGTAGTAGTGCACGGATCACTATGATTCACTGATTCGTTGAAATGAATGATCGATACGAGGAATCCAATCATCTTTCAATATTGTTCATCAATTTAGATATAAATCGTTTTTTTTCAATCTTGATCAATCTTTATCCCAATGTCAAGTGAAAAGATCAAGTACATCAGATTGACAATCGAATAAAACTAATCATAGATCGGAGCACAATATGATCTGACATTCGATTTAGTGAAAAAATAGTTTCTTCTCACTTTTTTGACGAATATTCTTCATAACATTTATTGTTTATTGTTTTCCACATCCACAATAACAATCGCCAACTCATTATCTTGACTCTTGTTTCTTAATAATCATTATTTCAAAGTGATAGAGTTCTCTTTTGTTGGCCATTTTAATACTGTGACGTTCATTGTTTTGAAGTGACACAAGATAAGAATAAGTTTTCAATTTGCCGACAAGTTCAGATCATTGTTCACTGCACACAGAACACTTCAACTATTCGATAGATCAAAATTCAAATCATCCTTAACATTTGTCTTTTTTTTGCATAGGGAAATTTCAGAAATCGAGGATTACTCAAAGATAGATACAAAATGTTTTAGATTGATGACCAATCAGAATATTTGATAGAACTTTATGAAAAATGGGTTTTTTTCCATGTAATTCATCATTATATACTATTGTTCATTTCAAAATATAATGTACTCCACTGTTTTTTGAATAACTCAAGAACACAATTAACTAGAGACCTGCAGTTTTCACCAATCGATAGAGGTGACAGGGGCATATCTTTTATTCGAATATTGTATAAGATAAAATCATTTTAAAATGAGTGATTTCTGTAGAACATTGCAACAAACGTATAAAAACTGTCTGTCATTCAGATGAAATTTTTATTTTCACATGTGATCTAGGAAGAGCAACTTCAGATCTATAGTTCAATATATAATTTGAACGATTATCTTTCCATATCCTAATGTTGACCAAATAAAGTCGTTTATTTACTAGCACGAAAACTATGGATTTATTCCAATTTTTAAGCAAATTTTCTTACTTTTAGTCAAAATTTCATCTGAATGACAGACAGTTTTTATACGTTTGTTGCAATGTTCTACAGAAATCACTCATGTTAAAATGATTTCATCTTATACAATATGCGAATAAAAAACATGACCCTATCTGCTCTGTCGATTGATGAAAACCGAAGGTCTCTCGCTGATTGTGTTCGTGAGTTATTCAAAAAACAGTGGAACACATTATATTTTGAAATAAACAATAGGCGATAGAAGATACTTCTATTCAAAATGATTTTATTTTTCGATTATTTGTACAAGACTATGATAAAAACGTTAAAACAATGCCAATTTTCAAAACTCATCAACTTTGATCAATATTGAACTTTTGTACCCGATGATTTCCTTGATCACTCACATAGAGATTACCCTCTTGATCAAATGACAAGCCAATGGGACAATAGAGTTGATTCGATTGATTTCCTTGACCATTTCCACCAATGATGACAGTTCCCTCTGTAGATCCTTGACGCCAACGCATTATTCGATGATTCGAACAATCAGCCACATAGACAGTACCTAATTCATCCACGACAATTCCATGGGGATTTGATAATTGTGTGAGACTATTTCCTTTACCATGACCACCAGCCACAACAATACCTTGTTTTGCACCTTCTATCCATTTCATTACACGATGATTATCCTTATCTGATACGTACACTGAATGATCTCGATCGACGCATACGTACGTTGGTTGATTCAATTGATCAAGGCGATTTCCTTGTCCATTTCCACCGGCAACAATTGTTTCTTGACGTTTTCCCAGTCGATATCGTCTAACTTCATGTTTATCAAAATTAGCAACATAGAGAAATCCATCATCGTCCATTGTCAAGCCCGAACATCCAACATTTGAGATGATTGTTTCTCCATTTGTACCATTTTGAAGAGACCATCGAACAACTCTTTCATTGTCAAGATCACAAATGATGAGACTATCTCTTTCTTTATCAATAATCATATCTGTTGGATTGTGCAATTGATCAGAACGATGTCCGCTTTCATTTCCACCGGCTATAATTCGGCCAGTCGTCACATCACATTTCCATTCCATAATACGATGATTCGAGCAATCAGCAGTGTAAACAGTTTGATCATTACCAACATACAAACCATTTGGATAATGAAGTTGATTCGTTCCATTACCATATCCATTTCCTCCAGCTACAGTGATACCATGCTGAATCCATGTTGCATTTTCATTCAGATTTGCACTGCGTAGAAGTGGTACTGAAAAAAAACACAATTTTGTCCATTGATGCTAGATCAATATATGTGGATAAAAATCAATATTTAAAGTGCAGAATTTTGATCAAGAAAGAGAGAGGAGAGGAAGAATAGTTCTATTCAATAATCATATGGAATAATGTCTCAAGATTAATCTCATTGTTTTGATATTTTGAATGAAGAAAAGTCTAAAAATTTCTATTGAATGATAATTAATATTCAAATTAAAGATCGAAGATTCTCTTCATCTTTCAAACAATCTTTAGTAATAAAATGTCACTATTGATCATTACAGTCAATGAAGATAATTTGACAGTGTCGTTTTTTTTCGAATATAGAATTATTGAAAATAGTCTGTAGACGATTGAAATGATTATTGAATTTCGATCGAAATCGATTCAATCCAAATTTTCACTTTAACTATTTTCCAATGGAAAAAAAAGCAACTGAATGTCGTCAATACTCTCTTGGAAATGAACTTCAAGTTAAGAATTATTGATATGATGTCAATGTTTTTTGTTTCGAAGAAAAAAACGATCGATACTTTAAGAAATATTTGAAATATGACAAAATCATTGAGAAAAAAGGTTATTAACTTTCTATTATCATTTAGAAACAAAAGTTTTAAAAATACTTGACACGATTATTTATTTTTGAAAAAGTCTTAATGTAATTTATTTCTTTACTTTTCACTGAATGTCAGGCGAACGTGAAGAGAATCGCACTTTAAGTTTTTCACATATATCATTCAGAGAAAGTTTCTCCATCATTTTATTCTGAAAAGTGATTAGATGGAGACAAATCGAATAATTCAACAGTATGTAATGCACATTGAAGTAGATAGGTGAAATGGCAGAACCGTCTTTCGAAAGAAATATTTACTGGTATAAAGTCTTTCAAAAGGAAATAATTGAATTTATTTCTGTCAGAAACATACTGAGAAATGAAATTTCAAACATTAATGATAGATTTATCGATCGTTGTTTTGATTTTGTTTGATTTCCTATTGAAAAATAAAGATAAACGAATCATTTTCATATTTCGAACAGTTGTATTTCTTTTCTTTTGGTTCATTTTTGAAAAACAAATCCATCGTATTCTCCTTAATTTCTATTTAATATCCTTTTCTGATATCATCTCGAAATGTTCATCATATGAAGATTTTGAACGAAGAAAATCTCATTGTGATTAAATTAGATAAATAAATGATGTCAAATATTTATCTTCGAGCTATTCATAACTTTTCAGTTATTTCAAGGGATTGTATCTCGAAGTTAAATAGATTACTGTTTATCGAGTCAGATTTCGTGAAAATTGAAGCTCGCGTGATTATTTTGTTTTCGTGCGTTCCAAAGAGAAACATTCTTCAAATATTTCAATGTCGTAAATAACTGTGCTTCTATTTTGACGAACAAGATAATTCAATTAAAACTAATCATAATTGTTAACTATCGACAGTTGTTTCATGTTATTTCTATCTTAACAGTAAAGATCGTAGAGGAAAAATTGTGTTCTGAAAATTTCATCTTAAAAAATTTCCGGAATGAAATTACCCAGGTCAATCACGCCCGATCGGATCCTGTCGGTTCCAAATAATTCCGACTGAAACCTATCTCAATTTTGTTGGAATCCTAACTAATGGATTCCGACGTCGGATCTGACATCGGATTTGCATAAAATCCGATCGAATCCTGTCTGTTTTTGTCGGATTTTACCGGATTCCGGTCCGGATATCGTCGGAATCCGTTAGTTAGGATTGATTGACCTGAGTATTTAGCATAAAAAAATTCTATGATCGAATGTGATAATTATAATTAAACTACTTAGAAAATTGGTATTTTTTCTCAAGTATTCAATGATTCTATAGTATTGCTGTATTCATGTTTCTAATAACATTTAATATGAATTGTAAACAATCTTTAAACTTATTCAAAGAATAGATTATTGTACTCATCATCATCAATAAAATTTACTTTTCTTAACATAATTTGGCAGTAAACTTGTTTCTGTAAAATACAATTTAAAAGGAGTGTTGAAGTACATAAGGTAAAAATTTGGACTCATTTCTCCAGATTGTGGATACTCTGAGAACCCACCATCAACTGCACAAGATGTTGTTGATATACGATCAAAGACCGAATATCAATAGCGTGTTATCATAAGTTATGAACTACTTGGTGATTCCAGTTCGAAAAGAATAAGTAAAAGAATGATTTAGAAAAGTGTCACAAAACAGATCGACTAAAACAATCTCTTCGTGGTTATCAAGAGTAGCTACATCGTATTTCACATGTTAATCCCGCAGAGATCATGCTAACAGCTTTTCTATTCGAATTGAATTTAGAATAAAAAGATTTTCATTCCTTTCAGTGAACAAAATTTGATAAATAATCTATTGAAGTTTGTCAAATATCATCGAAAATATTCCGATATTGATGTAATTAGATTCATCGAGAAATGTCTTGTTTAATGTTCCTCAAGAAATATATTGTATAATACTCAGTCGAGATATTTGAATTATTTCTCAATTCTTTTTAAAGATTCTTGAATGTTCAAATGTGAACTATTTCATTTGTTTCTCTATATTAGTTTTCAATGAAATTTTATTGAAATATATAAATTGATCATTTGTAATCATTTGAAAAAAGAAACAATCATTTGGATTTTTTTATATTTGAAATAATTTTATTTTTTTTTTATCGATTCGAAATTGAAATTCAACTACAGTTCAATTCCCCATCAACATCTTAGAAAAAAAAAACTTTTTATATTCATTCTATGAACATTCGAATGAGATACAAGTCAGTAGAAGATTTAGTTTATCCATCGATTCAACTCAAGAACAATAAAGAAATACCAGAAAAAGAACATTGTCTTTTCTTTGCAATTACAATCGACTGAAGCTTGAGACTCGAACATTTGATTCTTATAGAAATATTGAATTCATTTTTTATTCACTTGTCATTTGATAATTCATTAGGAAATTGAATTTTGAATATTTTAAAAAAAAATTTTTCAATGATTAAAATGCTTTCATTTATGAAATTATTTTCAGACGAAGGAAAAGTTTAAAGAATGTAATATTGAATGAAGATCTATGAAAATCTTCGAGAATGATTCTTATTTTAGCATTGATCAGACTTTCAAAAACAATTCCTGTTTTTTGAATTGAACGATGAATTTGTTTATTGAGATTTTAATTAGAATATTTAGGATTAGAGGTTAATGATTCGAAATGAATAAAAGTCAATGCTCTCTTCTCATTGTTGAAAGTTAAATTTTGATAATTGAAAACAATAAGAAAAAGTGAAATTCATGAACAAATAGAAGATCTTCGAAATCATTTGATTCTCATCAAAGTTCTTGTTAATTTTCTTATAGGAAAAAAAGAAATCTTCTATTAGAATAGTTTTTTATTAAGGTTTCTCAAAAATCGATCTTAGCCCAGGAACATCCAGATTGCATGAAACTTTCAGGATATGTTAGAGCTGGCGAGTAATGGCTATTGTCAAATTTTCAGCCTCTTATCATGACGTTTGACAGAGATATTCACCAAACAAGGATCAAAAATAGTTCTATCGTATCTTCGAGATCTCTCTGTGGGTCTTCATTTTATACATTTAAATTTTTTTTTTGGTTGAAAGCTTGTACCTAGAGGTAGCCTCTCTCGTGGCCCTTTTTTTTTAAAACTCTTACTTTTTAAGCGAAGAAAAGGGCTGACAAGTTTAATGACTCAAAAAACCCCTAAGAAATGGTACTGTTTTTTATAGATATGTTTTCTTATATGATAATCAAAAGTCTTATTCTTAAAAAAAGGGCCACGAGATGCCTAGCCTTAGACACAAGCTTTCAAACAAAAAGAATATTTGACTTTATCTTTTACCGTGATAGAATTCTACTGGCGCTACGTCGTTAAATGCATGTTCTGAGAAAAACGAAAAATGATTTTCGGTTTGTTTTGTAAAAACAACTGGTTTTTCGAATAGAGGATGACGAAAATTTTTGGAAAAAAAGAGATGTCAAATAAAAATCTTTGATTGATTTGTAGAAAAATTTCTTTTCTTCTATATTGTTAGTGCAATGTACTCACAGTTTTGTTGTTCTTCTCGAATGTAAATCAATTGATTCCAATCAATTTGATCATCATCAATAATGATTGATTTATTTATATCTTTTTGAATAAATTGATCAAGTTTTTCTTGTACTCCATTAATTTTTTGTTTAAGTCGATCAATATCATTTTCTACAAAATTTTCTTCATCTCGACGAAAACGAATTTCTAATGTAATAGGTTCAAGATATTTTGTTATTATTATTTTTTGTTTATCGATTAATTCGCCAAGTTCATGTTGAGCTTTTTCTGCTGCTTTTTTTATTTTTTTGATTGTTATTTTTTTCCATTGTTCAATTTGATCAAAAAGATCCGATGATAAATAATTTGATTTTTCTAATTTTTGTATTTGATCAAGAAGTTCATCATGTAATCTTACTATTTCATTATCGAATTTTATTGATAATTGTTGTTCATGTTCTTTAAAATCTTTTGAACAAAAATATTTTTTACATCCAATACAAAAGCATCTTGCTGCAGGTTTATTACAGATTGAACATAAATTTGTTTCATTTCCTGTTGCCATTTGTTTTAGAAGAAAATCAATGATATTATAGAATTTATGAAAATATTTCCAATAAATTCAATCTAAAATGTATTCATATAAATATTTATAAGAAAATAATTTTAAATCATATATTAAATATTCATCGTTTGTAATTCGAATCAAATATTGTTCGATTCTCTCATATGTTTAATAAAAATATAGAAATAAGGTTATATCAATCTTCAATGGATTCCTATGTTTATGACTTAATAATTATAAAAATTTTGATCAAATTTAATCGTATCGAACATCTTATAAACTCTATTTGAGATGAACAAAATCTTTTTGTATTGAATAGATTCATGTCGATTAAAATCAGAATTTGATAAAAATATATCTGAGTTTAATTTACTGGTTTTTCTATAAGGGATAACGATGTTTTCAAAAAATAAAAATTAATTTTCATTCAAGGAAAAATGTATGTAAACCGAGATTGCAAAAAAGAGATCTATAAAAATATCATATCTTTGAGACAAAAAGAGAAAATGATTGAAAATATGTGGTGATCTTTCAAATAACACTGGCATTTCGTTTATTTTGATTGAATGAATAAATAAAGAGTTAATAAAAACTTCCCCAACATTGTTTTATTCTTAGTCAATTTTTTCCACGCTTTGCTGTATTTTTTTTTCATGTAAACGCATAGAAGTATAATTCATATCAAATAACAGAGATAGAAATGTCACAGATGTAGCTTAATCGATGCCTTCTTTGAAGAAATATCGACTTTTATTAGAATAAACTTAAATTAATTTATTTTGTTCTAAATGAAACAATAAACGGAAATGTTTCACGAAAATCAATGCTAATCTACATTGCATTAATTGCGATTTCATGGGAGACTTTACATGAAAATCTATGAGAATTCATTTGGGAATCTTTATCAAATCTATGAAAATCTAAGAGTGTGGTTTTGATGTGTTTCTATCTACCTGGAGAGAGACAAAAGTTGTGAGAAAGTTGAATATTAATACTAACACCTATCCTTAATGCAGAGAGCAGCTCCAGATTGACATCTACATTCTTAATTTTGTGGATTTGAGAATAATTCGATAAAGTGTATCATTTATGAATTCAAAAACAGAAGTTTTTTTTTCATATCGACAAAAGTTTCGTCTAAAGCTTTATGACATTTTGATCATTGTGAACTGTTGAGATTGTTGTTCATCTTTTTAATTTAAAAGTTGATGTTGTCATTGCTTTCATTTCATTGAAGATGAAAAATTTGTTAGTAAATAGGTGATGAGATATTATTTTGATAAAATATTTTCATACGTATTATTAAAACAGAAGAAATCTCAGGAAAACTATGAAAACAAAAAGTCCTCAATAAAACTGGTAACTGTCGATAGGTTTTATTCTCAAATTTTGTTAAGAGAGAATCTTTTCATATTCAAAAACCAACTTGCTTTTTTTTGGCAATTGTACAAATGTTGTCAATGAATGGTTATTTTTTTTGAGGAAATCTTTTATCGAAAGAAAAGTGTTTTGATTTTAGCCCAAGTAAACAAAAAAAAATACGTGAAGATGGGCGACATGACTAGTCCAAAATGTTCGCAATATCAGTCAAATCCAGCCTGAAACGTCTTCTAAATTCGTCGTGACTAGTTATCTTGACAAGAAATGTTTTGCAACTCCGTTCGGACTAATACGTAGAACAGAATAAGAAAAGAAGACAAGGTAGATTCGATCATCTGACCTGACAATATTCAATACTTGACAGATGTCCTGACGGCAGATCACGACTCACCAATATACTGACGTTAGTTTAAATAGTTCAAATAGCAGAAAGATGCTCGTCCATTTGCTAGACAGTTAAAAACTTGTCGAAGACAAGTGACTGAACTAGTTTGAAGTGTCTTTTGCATCTGTCATGGCTAATCCAATTTTTAGGATGTACCATCATTACTAACTCAGAGTATTATGAAATTTCTTAACAACTGATCTTTCTCATACTAAATTGTCCAATCAACTGGTTTAGACTGACTAAGAATGAAAAGAAAAAGAATGTTATGCAAAGAAAATTTTTCAATATCTATATCATTAGTTGATAGTAAATGGTGAATTATTAGACATATTTAGAACATAGACGAGACAATAGAATAAATATCATTTTCGCTAAGTATATTTTATTAAAAGTCGATCGGTATTATAGATATATGTATTAAAATAGACGCTTTACAAATTGTTTCGAGCTTTAAGATTCAGATTTTTTTGCTCGAGAGTACTGAAATAACCTTTGAAAAGCCCAAAAAATTTAGTCTGAACGGAATTTGTGGATCGAAGTTTCTGATGAACATGTTCGTTCATTTTGGCCTGCTTCAAAGGATTCCGAACGAGCCAAAAACTATAGATCGCGACTAGAATTTTGTGCCCTTTTTGAATATGAACTTCGAAATGTTGTATCTAGTTTTATTGAAGAGTAGTGAGAACGTTTTTGAAAGGTCCAAAAAATTATTATTAATGGTGAACCTACAAGTTTTGGTTTACCGTATAAGTCAATTTTCAAGCATGCGAAAAATTATCGCAGTAGGTCGTCTTGGTAGAGTGGACACTTTTCTACAAAATGTAATATTGAACTAAGTTGTAGCTTTTATCTAAGTAAAGCTATAAGCATTCTGTCAAGAGCTTCTTTCTACGTAAAACAGTTTTTTGGTCAAAAAATCGATTTTTCAAAAATGAGTATTTAGGAAAAACGAAAATTGCAATGCCTTGTCGAAAGACAAACAAAATCTGAAATGGAGCATTTTTTAGGGTGGCTTCTGATCTACTAGCTAATGTGTAAATAAAGATTCCAACTTTTAGTTTCGAATTGCAATAGTAAAAATAAAAACATATGCAGAAAAATGCCCCATCCAAACTAATTTTTTGGACTTTTCAAAGATTATTTCACTACTCTCGAACAAAAACTGAGACAAAATTTCAAAGCTCATATTCGAAATGAGCATGAAATTCTGATCCTATCCATAGCTTTTAACTCGTCTGAAATACTTTCTGGCAGATCAAAAATGAACAAACATTTTGTCACAAAAATTTTTTGATCACCCGTTATATTGTAGATTGTCATCGATATTATTTTTTGAGGCGGAAATAGAAATACAAATGAATTCTTCAAGATCAATGCTGAAGTCAAGGATATACAGCATGTTTTATTACATCTCATCGTATTTGTGTGTGCGTTGCTACAAATTCTTCATTCTTTAAAATTCAAGATGCTATTGTGCACTTTTCCGAGGAGCAAAGATTTTGGATTTTTGAATGTTAACGTGCAAATATTGAAGTATCCAAAAATAGGAAAAAATACAAAGTATACTGTTCATTTTCTGACAAAAACTATGATCTTAAAATTTCAAAACTAATTAGATGTGTAAAATAAATTAAAAATAACAAAAATATTGTTATGTCATTATTTATTTTAAATATACATTTTGATTATTTTTATTTAAAAATTAATAATTTCGATTACACATATGTAATTTAGTTTTAATTCTATAAATGGATTTATTTAATTTAAAATAAAATAAACTCATGATACTGAGAAAATTTAAATTCTCTTCAATTTAAATAATTTTTAATTTATTTTTACACTTCATATATAATTTTTTTTTAATACATTAACTTTTTTTTGAAATCTTAACGATCAGAAAAAATTTCAAAAATTCTATTAAGTAATATCTACGAATATTTAGTGAGACATACAAGTTAATTTCTCGATCATATGATCCAATCGTCTAAACGACGGATAAGTAACATATTGTATGCATGTTCGGATCTAACCTTTCGACTATATATATTTCAATTTAGAATAGCTCAGACTAGTCCAGTACATATCACTACAGCACGTCAGTTCAAAATCTTCTTTTCAATTTTAAATCACATTCTGACGCGCTTCATGTCAATCCGATCTATCTAGTCTTTATCTTAAAAAGTTTTCGTTCAAGACTAGTTTACATTATAGACAATAACTTGATATCTAACCGACCCTGAAGTAGTCCTGGACGGGCCTTTTCCTAGAAAAAGACTAAACTAGACATGTATGATGATACTTGTCAATGACTAGAGCGAGGCGAGATACAAGGACGTAGCTGACTTCAGACTAGTTCTGGTCGAAGACTTTTTGAGAGAAAGACTAGAGAGGTCGGATCGATATGACTAGAAAAAAATACTGGATATTTAATCTGTTACTAACTTACTTGGAAGAAATGCATAATTCAGCTGATTATAAGGTCGAACCATTCAGTCAGCACTTGATAGGGTCGTAGAATCCCATGAAGATGAATTATATAAAGATTATCAGTTGCATTCAATTGATCAATTACTTTTAAATAAGTGTCAAGAGAAAGAAGAATTTTGTCTTCATCTTTAAAATATGAATGTGTACGAATGAATTTTTCTATTTTTTGTCTCAATAGAAACTACCGTTCGTCTATCCGTTTTACTCAATTAAAATAAATATATGAGAATATTGATTGAAAACGTAGAAGAACTCATCAATCATTATGTTTGCTCTTTTCTTCGACAATAAAAGAAGAAAGAGATCTTCGGAAATTCCTTCTCAAACTGTTCGATATTTAGTTAAACTGACACGGAGAAACATCATCTTAAGTTGAAAGAAACCTATGAGAAGCAACTTTAAATATGTGCTTTACTTCATCACGGATGTTAACCAATAGGTGCAACTTCATTAAATCAAGTATCAAAGGTCTTTACTTAATACTTGATGCGAATAAAAAAAAAGATCACCAGTCTTCAATTCATTTCTTAATATTAAATATTAATAAATCATATAATACTTTATACTATATTTAATTTTTTCTACTTAACATTTAATTCACATAAAATTAAGTGGAAATGATATTTACTTAATACAATCATTTACACGTAATTCTAAATGGTATGTAGAAAAATTTTAACATAATACAAAGTATTGTAAAGATTTGTTAAAATTTAATATTAAAAAATTAATTGATAACTGCTGA